TAATGACCATATACCCATCTGATAATGACCATATACCTGTCTGATAGTGACCATATACCCATCTGATAATGACCAGTCTGATAATGACCATATACCCATCTGATAATGACCATATACCCATCTGATAATGACCATATACCCATCTGATAATGACCATATACCTGTCTGATAATGACATGTCTGATAATGACCATATACCCATCTGATAATGACCATATACCCTGTCTGATAATGACCATATATCTGATATGACCATATACCCATCTGATAATGACCATGTACCCGTCTGATTTTGACCATTTACCCATCTGATAATGACCATATACCCATCTCATAATGACCATATACCTGTCTGATAGTGATCATATACCCATCTGATAATTACTATATACCCGTCTGATAATTACCAAACTGTTCTGTTAATGACCATATACCCATCTGATAATGACCATATAAACATCTGATAATGACCATATACCTGTCTGATAATGACCATATACCAGTCTGATAATGACCATATACCCATCTGATAATGACCATATACCCGTCTGATAATGACCATATACCAGCCTGATAGTGACCATATACCTGTCTGATAGTGACCATATATCCATCTGATAATGACCATATACCCATCTGATAATGACCATATACCCATCTGATAATGACCATATACCCATCTGATAATGACCATATACCCGTCTGATAGTGACCATATACCCATCTGATAATGACCATATACCCATCTGATAATGACCATATACCCATCTGATAATGACCATATACCTGTCTGATAATGACCATATACCCATCTGATAATGACCATATACCCAACTGATAATGACCATATACCCATCTGATAATGACCATATATCCATCTGATAATGACCATATACCCATCTGATAATGACCATATACCAGCCTGATAATGACCATATACCTGTCTGATAATGACCATATACCCATCTGATAATGACCATATACCCATCTGATAATGACCATATACCCATCTGATAATGACCATATACCCATCTGATAATGACCATATACCCATCTGATCATGACCATATACCCATCTGATAATGACCATATACCCGTCTGATAATGCCCATACCCAACTGATAATGACCATATATCCATCTGATAATGACCATATACCCATCTGATAATGACCATATACCCATCTGATAATGACCATATACCCATCTGATAATGACCATATACCCATCTGATAATGACCATATACCCATCTGATAATGACCATATACCCATCTGATAATGACCATATACCCGTCAGATAATGACCATATACCCATCTGATAATGACCATATACCTGTCTGATAGTGATCATATACCCATCTGATAATGACCATATACCTGTCTGATAATGACCATATACCCATCTGATAATGACGATATACCTGTCTGATAGTGACCATATACCCATCTGGTAATGACCATATACCCACCTGATAATGACCATATACCCGTTAGATAATGACCATCAACCCATCTGATAATGACTATATACCCATCTGATAATGACCATATACCTGTCTAATAGTGACCATATACCAGTCTGATAATGACCATATACCTGTCTGATAGTGACCATATACCCATCTGATAATGACCATATACCCATCTGATAATGACCATATACCCATCTGATAATGACCATATACCCATCTGATAATGACCATATACCTGTCTGATAGTGACCATATACCCATCTGATAATGATTATATACCTGTCTGAGATTAAACATATACCCATCAGATAATGACCATATACCCATCTGATAATGACCATATACCCACTTGAAAATGACCATATACCCATCTGATAATGTCCATATACCCACCTGATAATGACCATATACCCATCTGATAATGACCATATACCAGTCTGATAATGACCATATACCAGTCTGATAATGACCATATACCTGTTTGATAGTGACCATATACCCACCTGAAAATGACCATATACCATCTGATAATGACCATATACCCATCTGATAATGACCATATACCCATCTGATAATGACCATATACCTGTCTGATAATGACCATATACCAGATAATGACCATATACCCATCTGATAATGACCATATACCCACTTGAAAATGACCATATACCCATCTGATAATGTCCATATACCCATCTGATAATGACCATATACCCATCTGATAATGACCATATACCTGTCTGATAATGACCATATACCCATCTGATAATGACCATATACCCATCTGATAATGACCATATACCCATCTGATAATGACCATATACCCTTCTGATAATGACCATATACCATATACCTGTCTGATAATGACCATATACCAGTCTGATAATGACCATATACCTGTCTGATAATGACCATATACCCATCTGATAATGACCATATACCCATCTGATAATGACCATATACCCATCTGATAATGACCATATACCGTCTGATAATGACTATATACCTGTCTGATAATGACCATATACCTGTCTGATAGTGACCATATACCATATACCCATCTGATAATGACCATATACCCATCTGATAATGACCATATACCCATCTGATAATGACCATATACCTGTCTGATAATGACCATATACCTGTCTGATAGTGACCATATACCCATCTGATAATGACCATATACCCAACTGATAATGACCATATACCCATCTGATAATGACCATATACCCATCTGATAATGACCATATACCCAACTGATAATGACCATATACCTGTCTGATAATGACCATATACCGTCTGATAATGACCATATACCCATCTGATAATGACCATATACCTGTCTGATAATGACCATATACCGTCTGATAATGACCATATACCCATCTGATAATGACCATATACCTGTCTGATAGTGACCATATACCTGTCTGATAGTGACCATATACCTGTCTGATAATGACCATATACCCATCTGATAATGACCATATACCACTCTGATAATGACCATATACCCATCTGATAATGACCATATACCCATCTGATAATGACCATATACCAGTCTGATAATGACCATATACCTGTCTGATAGTGACCATATACCTATCAGATAATGACCATACACCCATCTGATAATGACCATATACCTGTCTGATAATGACCATATACCCATCTGATAATGACCATATACCCACCTGAAAATGACCATATACCCATCTGATAATGACCATATACCTGTCTGATAATGACCATATACCAGTCTGATAATGACCATATACCAGTCTGATAATGACCATATACCTGTCTGATAGTGACCATATACCTGTCTGATAGTGACCATATACCTGTCTGATAGTGACCATATACCTGTCTGATAATGACCATATACCTGTCTGATAGTGACCATATACCCATCTGATAATGACCATATACCCATCTGATAATGACCATATACCCTGTCTGATAATGACCATATACCTGTCTGATAATGACCATATACCCATCTGATAATGACCATATACCCATCTGATAATGACCATATACCTGTCTGATAATGACCATATACCCATCTGATAATGACCATATACCCGTCTGATAATGACCATATACCCATCTGATAATGACCATATACCCATCTGATAATGACCATATACCTGTCTGATAATGACCATATACCCATCTGAAAATGACCATATACCATCTGATAATGACCATATACCCACCTGATAATGACCATACATACCTGATCAAGACCATATACCCGTCTGATAGTGACCATATACCCATCTGATAATGACCATATACCCATCTGATAATGACCATATACCCATCTGATAATGACCATATACCCATCTGATAATGACCATATACCCATCTGATAATGACCATATACCGTCTGATAATGACTATATACCTGTCTGATAGTGACCATATACCCATCAGATAATGACCATATACCCATCTGGTAATGACCATATACCCACCTGATAATGACCATATACCCGTCAGATAATGACCATATACCTGTCTGATAATGACCATATACCCGTCCGATAATGACCATATACCAGCCTGATAGTGACCATATACCCATCTGATAATGACCATATACCAGTCTGATAATGACCATACATCTGTCTGATAATGACCATATACCTGTCTGATAGTGACCATATACCTGTCTGATAATGACCATATACCCATCTGATAATGACCATATACCCGTCTGATAATGACCATATACCTGTCTGATAGTGACCATATACCTGTCTGATAATGACCATATACCCATCTGATAATGACCATATACCTGTCTGATAATGACCATATACCTGTCTGATAATGACCATATACCTGTCTGATAATGACCATATACCCATCTGATAATGACCATATACCCATCTGATAATGACCATATACCCATCTGATAATGACCATATACCTGTCTGAGAATGACCATATATCCATCTGATAATGACCATATACCCATTTGATAATGACCATATACCAATCTCATAATGACAATATACCCATCTGATAATGACCATACCTGTCACCATCTGATTTGAAAATGACCATATACCCATCTGATAGTGACCCAAAAATAGATGTTATTTTCAAATTCTGTGCGGACCTGCTACGATACTTAGTTACAATATCTTTAACCATAATGTGAAGGTCCCAGCTGAACAGAGTTTGTGTAATGACCATATATAAACACATCTGATAATGACCATATATGTCTAAAGATATATTGAAAAAGATCCTCTGATAATGACCATATAGTTTCTATAGAAATAAACAGCACTCGATTGAATCAGACACAGCCAGCAGTTGAACATACAGGATAGGATATGTACATTTCATCCCAGAGATTTGTAAATGTCTTTGGTTGCTTTTGATGAAATGACCATATAACCTGATAATGAAAATGCTGATAATGACCATATACCGCGGCTGACAGCATGACCATATTGGCATGTGCATAATGACCATATACCAGCTGATAATGACCATATATCACCTGAACCATTTCAACCAGTTACACAAAAGCTACCTTTATATCTAGCTACAGTGTAAAAACATACAATGCATTACCTTCCACAACCAGTACTAGTGTTGTCTGTACAGTAAAGATTTGTGACAAGTGTTTGAAGTCATGTACCTGTTACTTTTCTTTTTACAAATAGTGTTGATAAATGTACAAATAAACAAATCAAATAATTAAACATTATTAAAGGCTTATTCTTGTGAGTCATCAGATTTATCAAATGGATGTTTATTTTTCATTAAGTAATGATTTTATACACAACCATTAAGAAAATTTGACCTGGTGTGACACAGCAATCAACAACACATCAATATTAGCACTCTCTTGTAAATTGGAGTCAGTAATTAATCAGCACTCACACTCTAGCCAACACTTTGTTCTACGGCCTCTTCAAGCCAGCAAAAAGTCAGGCAGTCTACGGCCCCTCCAAGCCAGCAAAAAGTCAGGCAGTCTATGGCCCCTTCAAGCCAGCAAAAAGTCAGGCAGTCTACGGCCCCTCCAAGCCAGCAAAAAGTCAGGCAGTCTATGGCCCCTTCAAGCCAGCAAAAAGTCAGGCAGTCTATGGCCCCTTCAAGCCAGCAAAAAGTCAGCCAGTCTATGGCCCCTTCAAGCCAGCAAAAAGTCAGCCAGTCTATGGCCCCTTCAAACATGAAAAATTCAGGCAGTCTACCGCCCCTCCAAGCCAGCAAAAAGTCAGGCAGTCTACGGCTCCTTCAAGCCAGCAAAAAGTCAGGCAGTCTACAGCCCCTTCAAGCCAGCAAAAAGTCAGGTAGTCTACGGCTCCTTCAAGCCAGCAAAAAGTCAGGCAGTCTACCGCCCCTCCAAGCCAGCAAAAAGTCAGGCAGTCTACAGCCCCTTCAAGCCAGCAAGAAGTCAGGCAGTCTACGGCCCCTTCAAGCCAGCAAGAAGTCAGGCAGTCTACGGCCCCTTCAAGCCAGCAAAAAGTCAAGCAGCCTATGGCCCCTTCAAGCCAGTACAAAGTTGGGTGGCCAATGGCCCAAAAATCATAAACAGCACTTGCTTTTGTAAATACACTTCATATACTCTTCAACAGCAAATATTGTAAAGAAAAGTTCCCATTTATACATATATAACTATAATTGTGAGTTTCCAAATGGTCTTGCTGTATATTTTCTCCTCCAACAATTAAACACAATACTAGCAAGATTATATAGAATAGAATGGCGTCCTCCAGCAGCATCCTTAAATCCTTTTGATATCAGTGCTGATCCTCTGTGACAGAGATCAACATCACCACCTTACACCTTCTCCAGGATGTTGATCCTCTGTGACAGAGATTAACATCACCACCTTACACCTTCTTAAGGATGTTGATCCTCTGTGACAGAGATTAACATCATCACCTTACACCTTCTCCAGGATGTTGATCCTCTGTGACAGAGATCAACATTACCACCTTACACCTTCTCCAGGATGTTGATCCTCTGTGACAGAGATCAACATCACCACCTTACACCTTCTTAAGGATGTTGATCCTCTGTGACAGAGATTAACATCACCACCTTACACCTTCTTAAGGATGTTGATCCTCTGTGACAGAGATTAACATCACCACCTTACACCTTCTCCAGGATGTTGATCCTCTGCGACAGAGATTAACATCACCACCTTATACCTTCTCCAGGATGTTGATCCTCTGTGACAGAGATTAACATCACTACCTTACACCTTCTTAAGGATGTTGATCCTCTGTGACAGAGATTAACATCACCACCTTACACCTTCTCCAGGATGTTGATCCTCTGTGACAGAGATTAACATCACCACCTTACACCTCCTCCAGGATGTTGATCCTCTGTGACAGAGATTAACATCACTACCTTACACCTTCTTAAGGATGTTGATCCTCTGTGACAGAGATTAACATCACCACCTTACACCTTCTTAAGGATGTTGATCCTCTGTGACAGAGATTAACATCACCACCTTACACCTTCTCCAGGATGTTGATCCTCTGTGACAGAGATTAACATCACCACCTTACACCTTCTCCAGGATGTTGATCCTCTGTGACAGAGATCTCCTAGCCACCATTACCACCTTACGCTTTCTCCAGGATAACAGTAATACCCTGGCCACCTCCTATACAAGCAGATCCCAGTCCCATTTTTTTACCTTGGCGGCTGAAAAAAAAAGAAACATAAATCAAATATTTCCCATGATGAAAAAAATCCTCTCCCACCACTCCCTCCTAAAACAAGAGGCCCATGGGCCTTAACGGTCATCTGACAAAAAGCAAGCCAAACTCTAACAACAGTGAGTCTGCCATTAAAACAGTGGGCTTTATTCATTTGAATAAACTTGGTAGCCCTTCCTCCCAGCATCCTACAGGCCCAATATCAGCACTCTGAGCCTTTTGGTAACTGAGAAGAAGTCGTTTACAGATTTTAACATATTTGACCTCTGTGACCTTGAAAGTGGGTCAAGGTAATTCACTTGAACAAATTTGGTAGCATGTCATCCCAGCATCCTACACGTCCATTATCAGCACTCTTGGACTTTTGCTTATTGAGAAGAAGTTGTTTGTATATTTTAATATATTTGACCCCTGTGACCTTGAAAGTGGGTCAAGGTAAATTCATTTGAATAAACTTGGTAGCCCTTCCTCCAAGCATCCTACAGGCCCAATATCAGCACTCTTGGACTTTTGCTTATTGAGAAGAAGTTGTTTGTATATTTTAACATATTTGACCCCTGTGACCTTGAAAGTGGGTCGAGGTCATTCATTTAAGGCCCAATATCAGCACTCTGAGCCTTTTGGTAACTGAGAAGAAGTCGTTTACAGATTTTAACATATTTGACCTCTGTGACCTTGAAAGTGGGTCAAGATCATTCATTTGAACAAAATTTGTAGGGCTCCATGCCAGCATGCTATGGGCCAAGTATTAGCCCCCTAGGCCTTCTAGTATTTGAGAAGAAGTTTTTTGAATGAAAAGTTTACGGACGATGCGAGGCGCACGGCGGACGACGACGGACGAAGCGCGATGGCTATAGGTCATCTCGACCCTTGACTACCAAACAAATCAATGTCTAATATATCACAATGCGTTTTTGACCTATGAACACAGAAAACAGGATGCTTCATTGAATAAAACAATACCAGTTACCAATCATGATGTTGACACAAAAGAATCAAGTTAAAGTGAACAACACTTTTCAACACAATTTTAACAGATAACTATGTATTGCTACCCTGTGATCTTATTCTATAATTCAATGACCTTCTACAAGACCACTTACTGAAGTTCATGAGCAATATGGCCTGTGATCCTGGTTCCTGATGCTGCAAGGGGGTGGCCCAAGGCAATAGCTCCACCGTTCATGTTTGACAGCTCAGGGTTCAGACCTAGTTCCTTCTGTACGGAGAGGTACTGGGGTGCAAATGCTTCATTCACCTGTCAAAGACCACAAGATGGTAAAACAACATAACAATCAAGAGGCCTATAGTATCAGTTGCATCACAATCTGCTAACAATGACCAATTGAAATATTCATTTGTAATTCAACTCTATTCATAGGCCTAAAGACATAGTAATCATTTCTGGTATTTTTCTGGAGATTTTTCCTTTTCTCAATTTTTTTTCTTAAATATCTGAGCTCCAAGTTTGAACAATTAAATCATGTTAAATCTTTAGAATATTGCAATGTGTCGAAAAATTGTTTAATCCATCTCAAGGTTGATAAATCACACTGGCTTCATCCAAGAAAAGATATCTCTCTGAGAAGCTTACCTCCACAATTTCCATGTCCTCAACATTTTTGCCCGCAGCCTTAAGAGCTGCACGGGATGCTGGTGCAGGGCCTATTCCCATGATCTTGGGGTCACAACCTGTCAACGAATGATAAACTAAATTATGCTAGAGAGACTGTGGTCTTATAGATTGATACTTCTGGCGAATAAAATGGTAGGAGTAAGCATATAGATTTGTAGAAGTAAGCCTATAGATTTGTAGGAGTAAGCCTATAGAATTGTAGGAGTAAACCTGTAGAATGGAAAGAGTAAGCCTGTAGATTTGTAGGAGTAAGCCTGTAGAATGGAAAGAGTAAACCTGTAGAATTGTAGGAGTAAGCCTATAGAATTGTAGGAGTAAGCCTATAGAATTGTAGGAGTAAGCCTGTAGAATTGTAGGAGTAAGCCTGTAGATTTGTAGGAGTAAACCTGTAGAATTGAAGGAGTAAACCTGTAGAATTGTAGGAGTAAGCCTATAGAATTGTAGGTGTAAACCTGTAGAATTGTAGGAGTAAGCCTGTATATTTGTAGGAGTAAGCCTGTAGAATTGTAGGAGTAAGCCTGTAGATTTGTAGGAGTAAACCTGTAGAATTGTAGGAGTAAACCTGTAGAATTGTAGGAATAAGTCTGTAGATTTGAAGGAGTAAGCCTGTAGAATTGTAGGAGTAAGCCTATAGAATTGTAGGAGTAAGCCTGTATATTTGTAGGAGTAAGACTGTAGAATTGTTGGAGTAAGCCTGTATATTTGTAGGAGTAAGCCTGTAGAACTGTAGGAGTAAGCCTATAGAATTGTAGGTGTAAACCTGTAGAATTGTAGGAGTAAGCCTATAGAATTGAAGGAGTAAACCTGTAGAATTGTAGGAGTAAGCCTGTAGATTTGTAGGAGTAAGCCTATAGAATTGAAGGTGTAAACCTGTATATTTGTAGGAGTAAGCCTGTAGAATTGTAGGAGTAAACCTGTAGAATTGTATGAGTAAGCCTGTAGATTTGTAGGAGTAAGCTTATAGAATTGTAGGAGTAAACCTGTAGAATTGTTGGAGTAAGCCTGTATATTTGTAGGAGTAAGCCTGTAGAATTGTAGGAGTAAACCTATAGAATGGTAGGAGTAAGCCTGTATATTTGTAGGAGTAAGCCTGTATATTTGTAGGTGTAGACCTGTAGAATTGTAGGAGTAAGCCTATAGAATTGTAGGAGTAAACCTGTAGAATTGTAGGAGTAAGCCTATAGAATTGTAGGAGTAAACCTGTAGAATTGTTGGAGTAAGCCTGTATATTTGTAGGAGTAAGCCTGTAGAATTGTAGGAGTAAACCTGTAGAATTGATGGAGTAAGCCTGTTTATTTGTAGGAGTAAGCCTGTTTATTTGTAGGAGTAAACCTGTAGAATTGTTGGAGTAAACCTGTAGAATTGTTGGAGTAAGCCTGTATATTTGTAGGAGTAAGCCTGTAGAATTGTAGGAGTAAGCCTATAGAATTGTAGGTGTAAACCTGTAGAATTGTAGGAGTAAGCCTGTATATTTGTAGGAGTAAGCCTATAGAATTGTAGGAGTAAGCCTGTTTATTTGTAGGAGTAAACTTGTAGAATTGTTGGAGTAAACCTGTAGAATTGTTGGAGTAAGCCTGTATATTTGTAGGAGTAAGCCTGTAGAATTGTAGGAGTAAGCCTATAGAATTGTAGGTGTAAACCTGTAGAATTGTAGGAGTAAGCCTGTATATTTGTAGGAGTAAGCCTATAGAATTGTAGGAGTAAGCCTGTAGAATGGAAAGAGTAAGCCTATAGATTTTTAGGAGTAAGCCTGTATATTTGTAGGAGTTAACCTGTAGAATTGTAGGAGTAAGCCTTTAGAATTGTAGGAGTAAACCTGTAGAATTGTTGGAGTAAGCCTGTTTATTTGTAGGAGTAAGCCTGTTTATTTGTAGGAGTAAACCTGTAGAATTGTAGGAGTAAACCTATAGAATGGTAAAAGTAAGCCTGTAGAATTGTAGGAGTAAACCTGTAGAATTGTGGGAGTAAACCTGTAGAATTGTTGGAGTAAGCCTGTATATTTGTAGGAGTAAACCAATAGATTTGTAGGAGTAAACATATAGAATGGTAGGAGTAAGCTTGTAGAATTGTATGAGTAAGCCTGTAGAATTGTATGAGTAAGCCTGTAGAATTGTTGGAGTAAGCCTGTAGAATGGAAAGAGTAAGCCTATAGATTTGTAGGAGTAAACCTGTATATTTGTAGGAGTAAACCTGTAGAATTGTAGGAGTAAACCTGTTTATTTGTAGGAGTAAGCCTGTATATTTGTAGGAGTAAACCTGTAGAATTGTAGGAGTAAACCTATAGAATGGTAAAAGTAAGCCTGTATATTTGAAGGAGTAAACCTATAGAATTGTCGGAGTAAACCTGTAGAATTGTTGGAGTAAACCTGTAGAATTGTAGGAGTAAACCTGTAGAATTGTTGGAGTAAACCTGTAGAATTGTTGGAGTAAACCTGTAGAATTGTTGGAGTAAGCCTGTATATTTGCAGGAGTAAACCAATAGATTTGTAGGAGTAAACATATAGAATGGTAGGAGTAAACCTGTAGAATTGTAGGAGTAAACCTAGAGAATGGTAAAAGTAAGCCTGTATATTTGTAAGAGTAAGCCTGTAGAATTGTAGGAGTAAACCTATAGAATTGTTGGAGTAAACCTGTTTATTTGTAGGAGTAAACCTGTAGAATTGTAGGAGTAAACCTGTAGAATTGTAGGAGTAAACCTGTTTATTTGTAGGAGTAAGCCTGTATATTTGTAGGAGTAAACCTGTAGAATTGTAGGAGTAAACCTATAGAATGGTAAAAGTAAGCCTGTATATTTGTAGGGGTAAACCTATAGAATTGTAGGAGTAAACCTATAGAATGGTAAAAGTAAGCCTGTAGAATTGTAGGAGTAAACCTGTAGAATTGTGGGAGTAAACCTGTAGAATTGTTGGAGTAAGCCTGTATATTTGTAGGAGTAAACCAATAGATTTGTAGGAGTAAACATATAGAATGGTAGGAGTAAGCTTGTAGAATTGTATGAGTAAGCCTGTAGAATTGTATGAGTAAGCCTGTAGAATTGTTGGAGTAAACCTGTTTATTTGTAGGAGTAAACCTGTAGAATTGTAGGAGTAAACCTGTAGAATTGTAGGAGTAAACCTGTAGAATTGTTGGAGTAAGCCTGTATATTTGTAGGAGTAAACCAATAGATTTGTAGGAGTAAACATATAGAATGGTAGGAGTAAGCTTGTAGAATTGTATGAGTAAGCCTGTAGAATTGTATGAGTAAGCCTGTAGAATTGTTGGAGTAAACCTGTTTATTTGTAGGAGTAAACCTGTAGAATTGTAGGAGTAAACCTGTAGAATTGTAGGAGTAAACCTGTTTATTTGTAGGAGTAAGCCTGTATATTTGTAGGAGTAAACCTGTAGAATTGTAGGAGTAAACCTATAGAATGGTAAAAGTAAGCCTGTATATTTGTAGGAGTAAACCTATAGAATTGTCGGAGTAAACCTGTAGAATTGTTGGAGTAAACCTGTAGAATTGTAGGAGTAAACCTGTAGAATTGTTGGAGTAAACCTGTAGAATTGTTGGAGTAAGCCTGTATATTTGCAGGAGTAAACCAATAGATTTGTAGGAGTAAACATATAGAATGGTAGGAGTAAACCTGTAGAATTGTAGGAGTAAACCTAGAGAATGGTAAAAGTAAGCCTGTATATTTGTAAGAGTAAACCTGTAGAATTGTAGGAGTAAACCTGTTTATTTGTAGGAGTAAGCCTGTATATTTGTAGGAGTAAACCTGTAGAATTGTAGGAGTAAACCTATAGAATGGTAAAAGTAAGCCTGTATATTTGTAGGAGTAAACCTATAGAATTGTAGGAGTAAACCTATAGAATGGTAAAAGTAAGCCTGTAGAATTGTAGGAGTAAACCTGTAGAATTGTGGGAGTAAACCTGTAGAATTGTTGGAGTAAGCCTGTATATTTGTAGGAGTAAACCAATAGATTTGTAGGAGTAAACATATAGAATGGTAGGAGTAAGCTTGTAGAATTGTATGAGTAAGCCTGTAGAATTGTATGAGTAAGCCTGTAGAATTGTTGGAGTAAACCTGTTTATTTGTAGGAGTAAACCTGTAGAATTGTAGGAGTAAACCTGTAGAATTGTAGGAGTAAACCTGTAGAATTGTTGGAGTAAGCCTGTATATTTGTAGGAGTAAACCAATAGATTTGTAGGAGTAAACATATAGAATGGTAGGAGTAAGCTTGTAGAATTGTATGAGTAAGCCTGTAGAATTGTATGAGTAAGCCTGTAGAATTGTTGGAGTAAACCTGTTTATTTGTAGGAGTAAGCCTGTATATTTGTAGGAGTAAACCTGTAGAATTGTAGGAGTAAACCTATAGAATGGTAAATGTAAGCCTGTATATTTGTAGGAGTAAACCTATAGAATTGTCGGAGTAAACCTGTAGAATTGTTGGAGTAAACCTGTAGAATTGTAGGAGTAAACCTGTAGAATTGTTGGAGTAAACCTGTAGAATTGTTGGAGTAAACCTGTAGAATTGTTGGAGTAAGCCTGTATATTTGCAGGAGTAAACCAATAGATTTGTAGGAGTAAACATATAGAATGGTAGGAGTAAACCTGTAGAATTGTAGGAGTAAACCTAGAGAATGGTAAAAGTAAGCCTGTATATCTGTAAGAGTAAGCCTGTAGAATTGTAGGAGTAAACCTATAGAATGGTAGGAGTAAACCTGTAGAATTGTAGGAGTAAACCTAGAGAATGGTAAAAGTAAGCCTGTATATTTGTAAGAGTAAGCCTGTAGAATTGTAGGAGTAAACCTATAGAATTGTAGGAGTAAGCCTGTAGAATTGTAGGAGTAAGCCTGTTGAGTTTTAGAAGTAATGCTGTAGAATTGTAGGAGCTAGTCTGTAGGTCCAGATTACTACCTGAAATTCCATAAGCAACAAGTCTGGCGAGTGGGGTAAGGTTGTATTTTCTCACTGCTTCCTCACTGGCTACGATCACAGCAGCTGCACCATCACAAACACCCTGGAAACACAAAGTGTTAAGGTCAAAACTGCTTCATTAAAAGCCATCTGTAGACCAAGATTGTATAGGTCAAAACTGCTTCATTACAAGCCATCTGTAGACCAAGATTGTATAGGTCAAAACTGCTTCATTACAAGCCACCTGTAGACCAAGATTGTATAGGTCAAAACCTGCTTCATTACAAGCCATCTGTAGACCAAGATTGTATAGGTCAAAACTGCTTCATTACAAGCCATCTGTAGACCAAGACTGTATAGGTCAAAACTGCTTCATTACAAGCCATCTGTAGACCAAGATTGTATAGGTCAAAACATAGCTCCTTTAGAATACATCCAGTACATAAATAATGCAAAATGTAAACCTGATATTCTATGAACCCGCTGTACATCCAGACGGTGTAGGTTGAAATAGTACCCCGAAACAAACACTCTGTACACCCAGATTGTATAAGTTAAAATAGTAACCTGTTTACAAACACTCTGTACACCCAGATTTTATAGGTTAAAACAGTAACCTGTTTACAAACACTCTGTGCACCCAGATTGTATAGGTTAAAACAGTAAACTGTTTACAAACACTCTGTACACCCAGATTGCATAGGTTAAAACAGTAAACTGTTACAAACACTCTGTACACCCAGATTGTATAGGTTAAAACAGTAAACTGTTTACAAACACTCTGTACACCCAGATTGTATAAGTTAAAACAGTAACCTGTTTACAAACACTCTGTACACCCAGATTTTATAGGTTAAAACAGTAACCTGTTTACAAACACTCTGTGCACCCAGATTGTATAGGTTAAAACAGTAAACTGTTTACAAACACTCTGTACACCCAGATTGTATAGGTTAAAACAGTAAACTGTTACAAACACTCTGTACACCCAGATTGTATAGGTTAAAACAGTAAACTGTTTACAAACACTCTGTACACCCAGATTGTATAGGTTAAAACAGTACCCTATTACAAACACTCTGTTGTATAGGTTAAAACAGTAATCTGTTTACAAACACTCTGTACACCCAGATTGTATAGGTTAAAACAGTAACCTGTTTACAAACACTCTGTACACCCAGATTGTATAGGTTAAAACAGTAACCTGTTTACAAACACTCTGTACACCCAGATTGTATAGGTTAAAACAGTAAACTGTTTACAAACACTCTGTACACCCAGATTGTATAGGTTAAAACAGTAACCTGTTTACAAACACTCTGTGCACCCAGATTGTATAGGTTAAAACAGTAAACTGTTTACAAACACTCTGTACACCCAGATTGTATAGGTTAAAACAGTAAACTGTTACAAACACTCTGTACACCCAGATTGTATAGGTTAAAACAGTAAACTGTTTACAAACACTCTGTACACCCAGATTGTATAAGTTAAAACAGTAACCTGTTTACAAACACTCTGTACACCCAGATTTTATAGGTTAAAACAGTAACCTGTTTACAAACACTCTGTGCACCCAGATTGTATAGGTTAAAACAGTAAACTGTTTACAAACACTCTGTACACCCAGATTGTATAGGTTAAAACAGTAAACTGTTACAAACACTCTGTACACCCAGATTGTATAGGTTAAAACAGTAAACTGTTTACAAACACTCTGTACACCCAGATTGTATAGGTTAAAACAGTACCCTATTACAAACACTCTGTACACCCAGACTGTATAGGTTAAAACAGTAAACTGTTTACAAACACTCTGTACACCCAGACTGTATAGGTTAAAACAGTAAACTGTTTACAAACACTCTGTACACCCAGATTGTATAGGTTAAAACAGTAACCTGTTTACAAACACTCTGTACACCCAGATTGTATAGGTTAAAACAGTAATCTGTTTACAAACACTCTGTACACCCAGACTGTATAGGTTAAAACAGTAACCTGTTTACAAACACTCTGTTCACCCAGATTGTATAGGTTAAAATAGTAACCTGTTTACAAACACTTTGTTCACCCGGATTATATATATTAAAACAGTAAACTATTACAACCACTTTGTACACCCAGATTGTATAGATTAAAACATTAACCTGTTACAAACACTCTGTACACCCAGATTGTATAGGTTAAAACAGTAACCTGTTTACAAACACTCTGTACACCCAGATTGTATAGGTTAAAACAGTAATCTGTTTACAAACACTCTGTACACCCAGATTGTATAGGTTAAAACAGTAACCTGTTTACAAACACTTTGTTCACCCAGATTATATATATTAAAACAGTAAACTATTACAACCACTTTGTACACCCAGATTGTATAGGTTAAAACAGTAAACTGTTTACAAACACTCTGTACACCCAGATTGTATAGATTAAAACATTAACCTGTTACAAACACTCTGTACACCCAGATTGTATAGGTTAAAACAGTAAACTGTTTACAAACACTCTGTACACCCAGATTGTATAGGTTAAAACATTAACCTGTTACAAACACTCTGTACACCCAGATTGTATAGGTTAAAACAGTAAACTGTTTACAAACACTCTGTACACCCAGATTGTATAGGTTAAAACAGTAACCTGTTTACAAACACTCTGTACACCCAGATTGTATAGGTTAAAACAGTAAACTGTTTACAAACACTCTGTACACCCAGATTGTATAGGTTAAAACAGTAACCTGTTTACAAACACTCTGTACACCCAGATTGTATAGGTTAAAATAGTAAACTGTTTACAAACACTCTGTACACCCAGATTGTATAGGTTAAAATAGTAAACTGTTTACAAACACTCTGTACACCCAGATTGTATAGGTTAAAATAGTAAACTGTTTACAAACACTCTGTACACCCAGATTGTATAGATTAAAACATTAACCTGTTACAAACACTCTGTACACCCAGATTGTATAGGTTAAAACAGTAACCTGTTTACAAACACTCTGTACACCCAGATTGTATAGGTTAAAACAGTAAACTGTTACAAACAATTTGTACATCCAGATTGTATAGGTTGAAACAGTACAGTTTGAAGTGTGCCTTCCCCTTCCCATCAACCACACGCTATTATTAGTACAGTTTGGAATGTGCCTTCTCTGTCCCATCAACCATATGTTAATATGAAAAAATTGAAATTCAACTACATTACTGACATCATCTGATATGGTAGTGGTATTGTGTAGAAATACCCCTGATTTTAGAAAAGGTATACTAAAAATTCTTTACACTAGCAATCATATTATTTGACCACTCAAGCTGAAAGGTCGATAAGCTAACGTAGTGGCATGGCATCCCGTCAGTCCCTACATGATGGTTCTAGGGCCCAATAAGGGAAAACAGTGCACATTTTTCTTATGTCGAAATGACTGGAATCTGTCCTGGACTTGTTAGAAGCAGCCTAGTTTGAAATGGTCTCAATTTTGTATGAACTGTGAATCGAACACCTCTGATGCCAGTGGGTGGAGCCCAATATGGGAAACAGAACAATTGTTTACCTTCTGACTTCCTCTGTAGTAATGATTGGATTGTCCCAATTTGGTGTGAAGCATCCTTTGGTGAAGGGAATGCAATATTTCAGACACAGTGGGTTCCAGCCCTTGGGAGATGAGGGGCAAGGCCCATTATTGGGAAATAGTGCAAATTCTTAAATATACTTCTTCTGTAGAAATGGCAGGATTCTGTCCCAATTTGGTCTGAAGCATGAATGGTGTGGTTGACCCCTTAGAACATAGGATTGGGGCCTGAGGGGAAATAGATGAAGTGTGCGTAGTGTGCTTAAATATTTCAAATTCCTTTTCCTACAATTTAGATGAAGCCATTTCAGCTTAACAAAGTCAGGTGAGCATTACAGACCCTATGGGCCTCTTACCGAAGCATTTCCTGCCGTTACCACGCCGTCCTTTTTAAATACTGGGGGCAGTTTGGCCAGTCCTGCAGGGTTTGTTTGAGGACGTGGATGTTCATCCACACTGAAGGTTTCTGATCCTATAAGTCAGAAATATCACAAAAGTTTATCAGAAATGTACGTGACACGTGAATTACATTATATCACTGACTTCCTGTCTACCTGGATAGTATCCTCTTTTGAAGCTCAGTTTGAAAATCCCTCAACATCTGAAAAACTAATGTTTTTGGCATGCCCTGAATTCGGTACACCGCACAACCTCATAATATGATCAATGTATATATCAAGTTTAATTATCTTGGCTTAAATGAAAGTTATTGAAAATTTTTGGGTAGCATAAAAATAACTGATTAACCATTGATAGTACTAAATCAATCAATTTTCAATCAATAATTAATCATATAATACACCATCTTTGTTGACCTACATTATTTTTTTTGACCTACATTATCCTTGTTGACCTACATTATCTTTGCTGACCTACTTTTTTTTGACCTACATTATCCTTGTTGACCTACATTATCTTTGCTGACCTACATTACCTGTTGACCTTCATTATCTCTGTTGACCTATATTATCTTTGTTGACCTACATTATCTTTGCTGACCTACATTATCTCTGTTGTCCTATATTATCTTTGTTGACCTACATTATCTTTGCTGACCTACATTATCTTTGTGGACCAACATTATCCTTGTTGACCTTATATTTGTTGGCCTACATTATCTCTGTCGACCTACAATATCCTTGTTTACCTATAATATGATCTTCTTTGTAAGAAATTGTCATTGCTACATGCTTTTAATTCCTCATATGGTTTTACATATTACCTTCAGACAGTCTGAACTAAAGTTGAATGTGACGGTTCAATGACATATAACCAGGAATTACTCAGATCAAATACCTTTCTTGCTTTTGAGTGTCAGTGGGGCAATTTCTGCATTAAATACGCCAGCATCTTGAGCTACAATGACAAAAAAAAAAGATAAACACAAATTTGAATGTTATATTTGCACAAGATTAAATATTCATTACTTGTTTGAATATTTTCAAAATGAAATTTTCACCACATGGTTCTCATTATAATTTCACTTGAGAAGCTGGGCTGCAGTAATCGTATTCAAAGCTGTCAACAAATGCTAATATTTGTCTTCTTACAAGGCAAACATATATTTTCCTTCATGGAATCAAAACTTGACAAATTCAGAGAGAAACTTACTTTCTATTATATCATCTACCCTTACCTGTGTGGAGCTAAAAATTATACTCTAATTTTATCACAAATTAAGCCATTCTCCATTTTTGAAAGTGTCTCAAACAAGAGGCCTAGCAACCTTGACGGTGACCTGAGGTAAGCAATATTGAATTTAAAGGTTACCCTGTATTAGAATAAGTAACTTTCAAGTGTCACAGAAAAGAAATTGCAATACAGAAACTGATCATAGCCATAAGTGACATGATTTAAGCATGTGGGGGTCCTCAAGGGTCATTATATTCATATCATCAAACTATTATCCTATACTTATAATACTAACCAAGTCTGAAATGTTTCCAATAGAAATTAAACTGT